AAGGTTGTTTTCCAAGTATGTTTCAAACTATTTTCTTATTTTTCTATGTGAATTGCTTATTCGCAGTGCAGAAGGTAAAATAATTCTTGAAAGAATGAATTGATATTTTAGCAGAGTTTCATTTGCACTCAATCCTGGTAATTTTGTCATTTCCTTCAAAGGAACTGCATAAAAAAAAAAAAAACCAGTCATCTCACCTATCAACCCAGCTTCATGACTAGGATTACAATTACAGGTAAGGTTATATAGTGCAATGTGACTTTTTTTTTCATAACCTAACATTAATGGTTCAATCTTTGTTTTGTCCAACCATTTCAGTAATCATTCACCAATCGGTAAAAGCACATCAGGCTATATGACAGTCCCGTATAGGATACAGGTTCGATTCCTGTCAGAGGACACATATTTTCTATGAAAATTTCTCGGACATTCAGACCGGTAAATGTTGCTAATACTGTTTGTTATAAACAAAGCATTGACTTAAATATTTGTATCTATAAAAAAGAATGTATAAACATAAAAAATGTCTTAAAATAATTGTCTGACTTTTTCCATTTCATAATCTGTGACATCATTTGTTTACATTTGGATACGTCATGAGCAGATATGAATGTATGTGAGAGAATCATGGAAGATTTTTAGTTTAAAGACAGTAAAATCAACCTTGCTAACTGAACGCTCCTCTGTGGCCCAATCGGTTAAGGCACGTCAGGCTATATGACGGTTCTGTATAGGATACAGGTTCGATTCCTGTCGGAGGACGCATATTTTCTATGAAAATTTCTCAGACATTCAGGCCGGTAAATGTTGTTAATACCGTTTATTTTAAACAGAGCATTGACTTAAATATTTATATCTATAAAAAGAATGTATGAACATAAAAAATGTCTTGAAGTATATATATATATATATATATATATATAAAGAACATAGATCACTAAAGTTGCGTAAAGCCCAGTCAGTACTTAGATGGGGGGGCCACATGGGAACACTGGAGACTGTAAACAATCACCTACAATCAGAAATATAATTCAGCTTTAAATAACACAAAGGGGTGATAAGCCATAAAAAAATCAATCAATTATATAAAGAACAATAACTCACAAAAGAGAAAGAGACAATTATATTTGTGATTTTAGTCACCCACTGAAGTCAAAATTCTCCTTAGACAAGCATTCTTTCAGACATACAATATGGCTTTTGCTTCTCTATGTCAACTGCTGATGTATTAACAATTGTTGATGAAAGAATCTATCAAGCTTTAGATAAGAATAATGAATTTGGGCTGTTGCTTTCAATATCTCGAAGGCATTTGACAAGGTTTGGCATGCTGGTCCTCTTCTCAAGAAAGCTTATGGTATTTCTGTATTAATTTTTGATCTGATACAATCTTTTTCATCAAATCAAGAAATCAAAGCTATCATGAATGGCCACTCTTCCAGATCTTTCTGCATTAATTCAGGTGTCTCCCAGGACTCTATCCCTGAATTTAAGCTGTTCCAAATTTTTATCAACAACCTTCCTGATGGTATCAATTCTCAACTTGGTATCTATGTTGATGATACAACTGTTTACCCTTATTTTAATAAGTCTGATCAGTTCTCTAATATCAAATTGGCAGCAGATCTCAAAAATGGTCATCAATCTGTCGTTATCTGGGGCAAGAAATGGCTTGCTAATTTTAACACCTCCAAAATGAAACTGCTCTCTTTTAATGCCTTCTATAAGCATGGCTAATGCTAACCTCCAGGAGAGAGATTCATTGTGCCTGCTATGGCTAATGTTTTCTACTAAAATGTAGTAGAAAATTTATAGGAAATCAATTGCTAGGTCTGTTAATAGAAAAGTTGGTTCACTGTGTTGTGCAAGAGAATTTTCCTTGCCAGAATCTATCTAGCACATTTATAAGTTGACCATTCATCCATGCATTAAATATTGCTGCCACATCTGGTCTGGTGTTTCTGCTATATATTTAGAGATTCTTGATAAAATCTGCATCTGTTATTGGTCCTGACCTGGCATCTTGGCTGCAGTCACTTTTCCATCACTGTAAGATAGGTTCCCTGTGCTTTTTCTATGAATATTTTCATGGCAATCTATTCTGATCTTTGGTACTTTGAATTTACAAATTTAAGTGCAGTACTAGATTGGCAGTTAAGTTTCAACATTTTACAGTTGAAATGGCTAGATGCAGCTATAAGTCTCTTCTATCACAATTCTTGTTTGTGGAACTCACTTCCAAAATCTTGCTTTCCAGCCAACTTCAAAAATTTAAATGCAATGTCAATAATTATCTTGTCTTTATAATTCTTGTTCTTTTATTGTCCTCTCTCCTTAATAGCAGTTTTTCTCATATTCTCTAACACTCAGTAGCCTGCTTGTGTGTTAGAGGCTTCATTGCCTTTGATCTTCGAAAATTTAAATGCAAGGTCAATTGTTATCTTCTGTTTTCTTAATTCCTGTTCTTTTATTGTTCTCTCTCCCTTTTTCTTTCTTTTTCTCGTATTCTTTCACACTTAGTAACCCCTTGCATTTTATTGCCTTATTTGGGGTGAAATAATTTAAAAAAGAAAACATGGAAATCATATAGTTCAAACATCTCAAATCACTTGGAAATTTTGTTATAGCCTTTCCAAGATAGATAAGCCTCATTCTGTGTTGACTATGTTGTCTTTTTCAGATTTTATGATTGTTCTTTAACTTTCTTTAACTTTTAACTTAAATAATTATTTTTATTTATTATCAATAATTATTAAATTAATAATCAATTATTAAACTATTTGACTGACACTGAGAAGACAGATTATGTTAAATCAAATTTAAAAGGATTAATCACAAAAAAAAACAAAATAATTCTGGTTTTGAAGCTAATTGTATAAATGAAAGTGACAAAAAGCTAAATTTAATACTTTGAATTATCCAATACAAGGCCCTAGAGCAACTCCTGATAGAGGGTTACTGGATGAGATTGTTGTAAGGGCATGAGGAAAGAAGTATACATTATGAGGATATGTAGGATAGATATTGGTTTACCCTAGACTTGAAGAGCTTAAAAACACAGCTCTTGAGGAAGCATCCTCTTGGGAGGCTGTTCCAAGCTGTGTGAGTAGAAGAAGGGAATGGAGATGACTTGACGATATTAACATGGTATGGAAGGTCCTAGCTGCAAAAATCTGAATTAGCAAAAATAAGGAATGTAGCTTGAAGATTTGTTATAATGATAGTGATACAGTAGTGAGAAGCTAGCAATATTTCAGTCTGCGAGGAAAGGAGTTGAAGGGTGGAAATTAATTCATATGTGTTAGTGTTTTAATGGTAGAAAATAAAATTGGAACATCCTAATGATCCATTTCACTTTACAATAAATGACCAAATATACAAATCCAAAAGAATGAATGAATCAATAATAACAGTTAAACCCTAAATAAACTCTATATCCTCTTTGGGGATTAAAACCAGCCTTCATTCCTACATATATTCACTGATGGAGAATACAATCTTGCAATATATTATTACTTGTCTCTAGCACCAATACAACTGTTGATGTAAAAGAACGAGTCAGACACCGTCAGATCATGTCCCATCTCTGCTTAATTCAGGAGAGGTCTAGCATTTGTGCCAGCCAGGGAAGTTGTTGAACATATTACATATACATGGAGGCACAATAGTGTTTTGGATGAGCTGCTCAAAATTATAAAGAAATATATGAAGTCTGAGTCATCTAATTCAGCCCAGAAATTTGTTGCAGAAGGAAAAAGATATGTCAGTTCTAAGCAAACAAGCAAATGTCATGCTATACCCAGAAAAAATTTCCTTAGTTCTGGTGGCATCTGGGAGGTATCTGCAGACCTTCCTGGTTGGCGTAATGATTACCCCAAAATAATATCAAGTAAAGGTCTGCAACCAGATATTGTTCTTCTGTCAGGGGTGAACCATAAAATCATCCTGGTTGAATTAACAGTACCATATGAATGCCGGATGGAACAAAGCCACGATTAAAAAAATTAATAAATATGAAAATTTAAAGTCAGAGCTAATAAAGGAGGGGTATAATGCAATTGTTAGAGCAGTGGAAATTGGAGCAAGGGGTTTCGTTTCAGGCACTCTGTACCAATTTCTGGGCCAAATTGGAATCAAAGGGCGCAATAGGGCCAAAAGTATAAAACACCTAATAGAAATAACTGAGAATAGTTCTATGTGGATATGGAAAAAACGAAATACTCCGTGGAGTGTTTCAGCGAACATGACGGCATGACATGACTGATCGTGAATTTAATGAGGTTCACGTTGCATTCTCAGAAAGCGAGGTTTGCCGCTGGAATTTTAATAAATTTAATTTCGCGTTACACATTTGAACTAGTTTATCTACAACACTTGTATATCGTTATAATGGGGCCTCACATCAGTGAGGGGGTGCCGGTGTGCAACTGAAACCATTGAGAGGAAGGCCCCGAAATGGTGCACATTCCCTCCTGTTTAATGAAATGGTGCACATTCTCTCCAGTTTAAAATTCGAGAGGAATACATCAAATTCAGTGAAGTCATATGCCGTAGTGAAGCTCAGTGGAAGTATCATTGGCATGAGGAGCATTACACATTCAGCTCGCTTCAGGTGAGTTTCAATTACTTTCCAGTAATTTCCTTCTTCAGAATATGTTGAGTAGCATAGGTATTATGTAGACAGGAATTTTTTTAAATCATTTCACCCTACGCAAGGGAATAAAACAACTAAGATGCAAGGGGTTATTGGATGTGAGAGAATATGAGAAAATGGAAACATTAAAAAGCAGGGAGACAATAAAAGAACAGGAATTAAAAAGACAAGATAATGATTGACATTGAATTTAAATTTTTGAAGATTAAAGTTAACTGGGAAGCAAGAGCCAAAAGAGAGTTTGGAATAAAGTTCAGAAGAGACTCATTATTCAATATCTATCTATCCTCAGTCTATTCCTATGTATCTATTCTAAGTCTATTCCTATTTATCTCTCTCTTCTCAGTCTATTCCTATCTATCTATCTATCTATCTCTTCTCATTCTATTCTTATCTATCTATTCTCAGTCTATTCCTATCTATTTATCTGTCTATTCTCAGTTTATTCCTATCTATTTATCTATCTATCTATCTATTCTATGTCTACTCCTATCTATCTAACTATCTATCTATTCTCAGTCTATTCCTATCTATCTATCTATCTATCTCTTCTCAGTCTATTCCTATGTATCTATCTCTCTCTTCTCAGTCTATTCCTATCTATCTATCTATCTCTTCTCAGTCTATTCCTATGTATCTATCTCTCTCTTCTCAGTCTATTCCTATCTATCTATCTATCTCTTCTCAGTCTATTCCTATCTATCTATCTCTCTCTTCTCAGTCTATTCCTATCTATCTATCTCTCTCTTCTCAGTCTATTCTTATCTATCTATTCTCAGTCTATTCCTATCTATTTATCTGTCTATTCTCAGTTTATTCCTATCTATTTATCTATCTATCTATTCTAAGTCTATTCCTATCTATCTGTTCTATGTCTACTCCTATCTATCTAACTATCTATCTATTCTCAGTCTATTCCTATCTATCTATCTATCTTTTTCTCGGTTTATTCCTATCTATCTATTCTCAGTCTATTCCTATCTATTTATCTATCTATCCATTCTCAGTTTATTTCTATCTATTCTAAGTCTATTCCTATCTATTTATCTATCTATCTCTTCTCAGTCTATTCTTATCTATCTATTCTCTTAGTTGTAATTTATGGTACCATTCACCATGTTTGTGAATACAGTTTGAAAGATGTTGCTTCCTAAACACACACAACCATCACCTGAATGATAGCAAAAACTCCTCTTGGAGCACTAATCCCCCCAGGTGAACCTTTTCGCAATACCACTAGAAATATGCATGATAGTGCAGTAGTTAACTAGAATTATGGCTTGATGAGTGCATGCACATAATGCTGCTAAAAGTAAATGATTCTGATCAATGCAGTGGATGCTCTGCAACCAGCCACTGCTGTCCTTACATGCACTGATTTTCGCGAGTGTCTGTACTTACATAGCGACAGCTGTATGTACAGAGAACCTGGTCTTTGGGTGTAGGAATTTTCATTTGATCTCTGTTATTACAGATGTGACATGACCAACATGTGTTGCAATTCTCCAAAATGTCCATGCAACCATTTGAAAGCCCACAATCTGATCTCTTTCAAAGGACTAAATTAACAAAAAAAATATGTGTGCATCTCTGTGGCATGACACCGGCTTTCACTGGACTATTTCATTGCACTGAACCTAATTACAAACATGTGTCACTGTTGAAAGATCAAATATTAATAGTGTGCTTGTAGGAATATTAATAAAACAATTTAGAAAGTTTCTTGCAATTTTATTTTCATTCAGTGTGTGTGTATGTGTATATAACTTTTGCTTTTATTTTCCTTTATTAAATCACCATACTTATTCTTCAAAACAGGATCTTGCCCAATAAACTCAGTGACAACACTTTACCAGACAACTAGAAAAATATTCCCCGAGGAGAAATTTCAATAAACTTAAATAATGCCTGAAGGTTATATCCACTTTGGCAGGAAAGAAGACAAATTACTGCCACTGCCTCAAACACATCCATTAAGCTGAGGAGTAGGAGTCTAATATCTTCATAAGTTTGTTAGCTAAGGATGGTGAGTTCAATCCTTAGCAGGACCTTAAAAGTCAGCACAGTTAACATTTATATTTTAAAATTTTATGATGAACAAATCTCATTGATTTGTTCCCAGATATTCCTTGTTAAATTCTAGTAAATGTTAAAAATTATTCAAATTAATCACAGCATTTCTAAGTAGCAACCTTGCCATGAATTGTAATGTTGTGAAATGTTGAAAAGAGAATGAAAAAATTTAACATCTAACTGGTTTTCATAAATTCCATCTTGGATACTGTGATCATATATTTGATATCCATTTTATTGTCAACACTCACATACAGGGTGTTCAATTTATGATATTTCTCTGAAATCTGAAATTAAATCATCTCACACACACATATATATATATATATATATATATATATATATACATATATATATAAAGCAATTCACCCCAAGCAAGGCATGAGTGCCATTAGTATGCAAGGGGCTACAGAGAGTGTAAGTAAGGGAAAAGACTGGGTATGGGAGGGAGGTGAGGAAAGGATAAGAAGAAGAATGGGAATCAAGGCAAGAAGATGTCGATTGACATTACATTTAAATTTTTTAAGATTATAATTATCAAGGAAGCAAGTAAGAGGAAGGGAGGGAGTTCCACTGGCAGAAAGTGCGAGGACGGAAGCTGTTGGAGTAGAAGAGGTGGTTACATTTAATTGTTCCGACAGTAAAAGGGTGGGTCCAAGATGCCAGCCTAATAGCATTCTTAAATTCATGCAGTTAGGGTACCAGTGAAAATAGCTTGTCAGAGCAGATGCCATGAAAATATTTATAGAAAAGACAGAGGGAAGCCACAATACATTTGTGAGAAAGTGAATGGAGTCTAGATCCCAAGTCAGGATCTATCACATTGCATATCTCTCTGGATTTTGTCAAGAACCTAGAGATGAACAGCGGGGGCACCAGACCATATATGGCAACAGTATTCCATGCATGAAGGAATGGTAGATTTGTAGATGAGAAGGATGGAATCAGATGAGAAAAAACTTCTGCCACAACAAATTCCATGTACTTGTTTTACCTCAGCTCAGTGGAGAACGTGAGACTAAGAATGCACAGTGAGGCTATATATATATATATATATATATATATATTGAAGCATGTTTAACGATGGTCTCAAATGAGACTGAAAATACTTGGGAAAATAAAAATTATTTGAAAGAAAAATTTTGTAATTTTTCTTAATTTTCTACAGCCACTAAGAAATTTATTCATGGACTTGAAAGGATTAAAACTAAAATAAATAGACATCATATGTCTAAATTATTTAGCCAAATATGCTATATTTATATATATATATATATATATATATATATATATATATATATATATATACATACATACATACATACATACATATATATATATATATAACACAGATTGTGATGGATAAATTCTAATCTAAATTACACAAAAATGAAAATAACACTGATATCACATTTTAACAAATATATTTACCAAAATTACACAAAAAATATCTTGAAATACTAAAGAGTAAATTTATTCAATAAAATCATCATTGGCTTCAACCAATGACTCCAGACAACTTTGAAATCTCCTGCAACTCTTCTGGATAGACTCCTTGTTTAAGTTGGTGAATGTTGCCATAATTCTTGGCTTCAGTTGATCATTGATATTAAAAGGAATTTTGTTGGTCTCTTGCTCAACTGCACCCAACACATAATAATCAAGAAGTTGCAGTCTGGGGTGGCCAGATGTAAGGGGTGATGTGGTCATAGAAATTGTCTGACAGCCATGACTGGGTTCTCCTGCTTATGTTGGATGCTAAAGAGTTCTGTTGCTAGATATAGGGTCTTCCAGCAGTCACCCTCTTGACCCAGGATAGTACTACCTTCTCAATGCACTTGATCTTGGCCACTGTGTTGAGTTTGAAGCCCTCACTGACAAATTCAAGAGTTCTTTTCTTATTAGACCAATCAGAATGAGTTTTCTGAGCTGCTTTAACTTTGTAATCACTTTTAAACTAACCCAACTGTTTCTGAATCCTCTGCACTGTCCTCAGATTGATACCCAAACACTCTAAAATTTTTATATTGGAGGTTCTGGTGTGAATGCCAAGCAGTACAGCATGCTGTTTCCAAATTTCTGGCAAAATTAATTGCATCATAGTGCTCTTTTTCTCACAGACAGTGCCCAACTATACTGTGCAGTTGACAAAATCAAAAACAAACAACAGGCATGTGTGAAATTAAAAATGTAAAATGGAAACAATTTATCCATCACACCCTGTATATAAAGTTTTTTTTTGCTTTTGTGCCAGCTGCAATCTTCAAAAATTCAGTCTTCTCATTCTATTTTACCCCCAGTAATTCCTTGCATCTTAGTGGCATTATCGCCACCTTGCTGGACGTGAAATGATTAAAAATAGATATCTATGTATGTTGGGTGCATTTCAGCAGCAATTTTTCCTTTATGTACATTTGATAAAGAAAAAAAAAAGCAATGGAAATTCCTTATTGATTATCTTTTTTGATGTCTCTAATCTTTTTTCTGATTTCCAGTTCAGATTTAAGCACTTTGGATTAACACTAGCGATTTTCGAAAACATTTTCATTTGTTAGCAGTTTAATTATTTTTCTCCTTCAGTTCTACATAATATTCTTTTGCTTTTGTAATTTGCCTTGCAATGAGTTTTCTTCTGAAATTTTCTGGGTTTTTAATCAAACATGCATGAATTCTTATTTGTGCATATTTGATTAAAAAAAACAGAATAAAGTCATTTCAAGAAACAAGAATTTCTTGAAATGACTTTTTTCTAGTTTTCCAAGGAAATAAATGTTGCCACCCAGATTTCATGCGCAAATAAAATGAGTCATTATTTCTTTATGTTAATATGAAATTAACTGTTTTAAATTTTAAAGAGTAAGACAATTTTGTTGTTTAGCATACAAAATTATCAAGTGTTAGTAGGGCATTCAGTTGTCAGTTATAGCCAGATATTAAAAAGATGTTAAATATTTTAAAGATATTAAAAGAAAGATGTTAAATTTAATAAAAACAAAGTTTTCCAAAATTTAAAAGAAAAAAATAAACACTTCATTGATTATTTTAAATATCAGTCAGTTTATTTTACCATAATTGGAAATAAAAGATTTTTTTTTCCTTTTAAAAGTTGGTATGCTTTCTTTTTTGCTTCCTATTTTGTCTTTGTTTTTTTTTGGTTTTATAAAAGTATATGAAAAAAATACATATAGGCTTCTATGAGGTTTCTAAAAATTACCCTAAAAGTAATTTATGTCGATACTCAATAAACATTTATCCTAAAAGAATCTTAAGCATGGTTAAAAACAATTGAGAATCTTATGGTATAATAATTGTAATATTCAAATTATTCCTTCAATTTCCAAAAACAATTCAGTACAAAATAATCTCTGTGACAATCTCAAATAACTTCAGATATCTATAACTAATAAGTTTAGTAGTTTAATGATAAAGACATTATTATATACAAGAAATATTTTTCACCATGATCTCTCTTCTTTTGTATCTGTCTATATTTCTGAGATGGAGTATTATGTACACTATTTACATTATTCGAACTATTGTCCTCATCTTTGTTGCCATATTTATTGCAACATTTCGGCCATTGTACACTCCGGCCTTCTTCAGGTTGTTGGAATGTCAAACTGAACCCTTTATTTTGCTCACTGGGGTAGACTGTTCTAGTTCCATGTGCCATGTTTAATGGATGTCAGTTATCAGTTATCTCCTGTTAATTCCCCTCTGAAAGTTCTCCACTGCTTTAACTGGGTATTGAACTCACACTCTTTGGGTCCTGTCACTAGATCTAACCAATGCCTTTATCCACTGTACCACGTGTCCTTGAGTGTGAGTTAAATACCCGGTTAAGTCAGTGGAGAACTTTGAGAGGGGAATTAACAAAAGATAACTGATAACTGACATCCATTATACATGGCACATGGAACTAGAACAGTCCACCCCAGTGAGCAAAATAAAGGGTTCAGTTCAACATTCCAATCAACTGAAGAAGGCCGGAGCATACAACGGCCAAAACGTTGTAATAA